ATAGTAGACGTTGCACTCTCCTTCCTAATTAGCAATCATGTGTCTCATCCATTTGCGGTGATTGGTCAGTGGCAAAAAGAAAAGGGGGAGAGTAAGGGGCGACAAAGACAGAAACGGTTTCAGGAGGATGCCACTGACACTAATAGCACGGGTAATAGGAGTAGTATAAGTGACACAGGTGATGGCAAGGGTGGAATGATAGGGCAGCATTTTCGAGTTCTGGAATGGATTTTCCTACAGATTCAGCCAAAAACGAGTGTTCTATATTCATGGCTCACTGATTTGTTTGAAATGCATAGATGGTTACTGGGATTAGTCAAAGAGGGATTAAGGATTTTGTTTATTGTGGTGTTAATCATTATTGCGTGTTGTATTGTAATAAATGTGGTTAAAGGGTTACTTGCAAAACTGTTACATCGGGCTTGGTTTGCTCAAAAAGAAAAAGGGGGAATTGTTGAGGGATTTTTGAAACAGCAAAGATCCCACGGCTTGCTGCAGCTGAGCAAACCAAGCTACCAGGACGACTATGAGAAGTTCCCATGACAGTGTTCCCACATCGCCCAATTGAGGAATTTAGAAAAATATTGTTACCAGCAGCTGGCTTCAAGGACAAGGTCTATGTGACTGCTAATCACAAGGGGGTTGTTTTCTTGCAGGTGGGGTTGTTTTCTTGCAGTTGTTTGTCTGAGTGCTTTTGACCAATAATCTTGTGTGAGACACTATCCGCCCCTGTTAAGTTCACTATAAAAGCTAGGCTATTCGGGTAATAAAATGGCACATGATCTGACCATCTGGTGTCTGTCGTGTTTTCAGCCATTCTTCCTGCAACACCACCTGGAGAAGGAAGTTACATCAATGCACTCCAGGAACCTCTTGGATTGCTTATGCCCTGCTGTATTGTCCCTCCAACAGATATTGGGGTGGTTGAAGTCCCCCATGAGAACCAGGACTTTTGGATGTGAGGCTGCTTTTATCTGTCTATAGAGGGCCTCGTTGTTGTCGACGGAAGGAAGACAAGCGCACTCAATATGAGTGATCAGCAAGCTTCATTTTATTGCCCAAATAGCCTAACTTTTATAGTGAACTTAACAGGGGCGGACAGTGTCTCACACAAAATCATTGGTCAAAAGCACTCAGACAAACAACTGCAAGAAAACAACCCCACCTGCAAGAAAAGAACCCCTTGTGATTAGCAGTCACGTAAACCTTGTCCTTGAAGCCAGCTGCTGGTAACAGTATTTTTCTGAGTTCCTTAATTGGGCGATGTCGGAGTCATTGTCGTGGGAACTTCTCATAGTCGTCCTGGTAGCTTGGTTTGCTCAGCTGCAGCAGGCCCTGAGATTTTCTAAGGCCTACCCCTGGTTGCTTAAAGCAAGCTCAGATTGAACAATTGTTCCATGGGCACATGTCCACGTCCTGTATGCCAGTTCCCAACACCTCGTCTGCTTGGTCTTCTTGGTTGGATGGCCTGTAGCAGACCCTCACTACAATGTTACCTGTCCCTGCCCTCCCTTTAATCCTGACCCATAAGCTTTCTGTCATCTCCTCATCCATCCCCAGGCAGAGCTCCATGCACTCCAGCTGGTTACTGACATAGAGGGCAACACCCCCTCCTTGTTTCTCATGCCTGTCTTTCCTAAAGAGCCTATATTCTTCCATTCCAACACTCCAATCATGTGAGCCATCCCACCATGTGTCTGTGCTGCCAATAAGATTATAGCCCTGCAGGCATGCACACATCTCTAACTCCTCTTGTTTATTCCCCATGCTATGTTCGTTAGCATAGAGGCATTTAAGTTGGGCCCCTGATGAGGCTGACTTACTGGCTGTAGTGGCTGGAATTCCTTTGTGCTGCTCTTCAGGTGCTTCCCTGCTGACCTATCCTTCTCCAGGCTCTGGGCATCTATTTCAGTGCTTCCTGATGTTGACCTTGTATGAAGAATTATTTTTTTCAAAGTTCAGGTCCCTTTTGACATCCAGTACTTCTGTTTTTTATAAATGATGATCAGACTGTTCTGCCACCCCACAGCTTTACAACTAGGTGCAAATGATCTGAGATGCAACTTGTAGTTTGGCATATGGGAATACCACTTTTAAAAGGAAAAAAAAAAAAAAGTGCTGGTAGAAGCTTTTGAAATTAATTAGATCATTGTTTTTTCCTGTCCAGGACAAGTCTTCAACTTTTTTCCAGTTTGGTGCATTGAGTGTTTTGTATATGCTCTTCTTAGAGCTATTACTCTTGATTACGTTGGAACACATGAAGACATAAAGCATAGTAACTGAATTGTTTCCTGCTCCTACTGGCAACTATAGGCAATAATACCCCTTAAAAACTGAGCCAATGCTGTATTAAAGCTGGCTAAATTTTTCTGCTCCATTTGTCAGGGTCTCTGTTTCACCAGCTCAGGTTAGAAACTTGGTTTCCCATATCAGTTTCTCTCTGACTGTTCTATTCATTTGTTTTGCAATTTAATTGCTACTGTTTCTCATAAGTGGTGTTGTTATCCCTGTGTCCCCCCCTCCCCCCCCTTTCACCTTCTGTTTTTATAGTGTTGCCTCTTTTAATTTGTTGGACAAAACAAAATTCTTTTTCCTTCTAGTATATCAGGTTTTCTTTTTTCCTTTGTGCCTGATTATATTAATAGATTTTGGAACTTGCTTCAGTTTGAATTGATTTTTTTTTTTTTTTTTAATGACAGAGGGTGACAACATGTAGCTATATTTAGAATTCAAATTGAGATCTCTTTGTGGCTTCTGCAATGTCATGATTATATGCTTGTTTCTCTTGGAAATGTCTGTGGTTACACTTTAGTGTTCCACTAGCCCTTTTTGTAGCTGCCTAGTGACTGATGACTCTATGTGGAAATTATATGACTTAGTACTGTGGCATCTTGTCCCTTTCCTATTTTTTCAGTCCTTAAGGTTGTACGTTTTTTTCCCCTACAGTGTCCTAATAATTCACTGCATTGTCTGTGACCGTCATTTGTGGCATCAACCAACTTTAAGGATAGGAAAAATGTTTGATTAAGATTGCTGTTAAAAATATTGAACTGGATAGTTCCAAAATGCGTCTTTGAGTACATTTTAGTAACCTTCAGCCTGGCAGTTAAAGAAAGAAAACTTTGTGTAATGCAAATTACTCTTGGTATATCCATGAAGCATTTTATTGCACTTACCTCCATCTTTTATTTTCTCCTTCAAAATTTGTGCTAAAGCTTTGCATAATATTGAGGTCGAGGTTATCTAATCTTTTTTTTTTCTTTTTTTTTTTCCCCCTTATTTATGAGCATTACATAATGCATAACTGTCCTTCGGTGATGTTCTACTGAAATTCACCAGACTTGTGATTAAATATGCCAGTCCCTTTGGAATTCTGAGGTGATAGTGTTTTTTCCTCCACTCCCAAATTCTAATTTTAATGCATTAATATTGGCCAGGATCCCAGAGTTAGACTTTATGCCAATGCACAGAAGTCTGAGAACTACTTATGCTTACCAAAGAAACCCATATCTGTTATACCTAAATACACTGTGTATATTTACATTCAAATATATAAATATATAAGCAGAGTATTCTAAACTTGAAGCTCCCTGCATGCTAATGTTTAAACAGGGCTTTAAAAGGGAAACATTATTTATTGGTGGGTGTTTAAGATAAGCAAGTAGGTTTATCTTCAGCATCAGCTCTGAGAATGTTGAATATAGTGGGGTATTGCTTCCAGGGACTTTTTATTGTGATGTTGCTATGAATTTACTTTTAATCTTCTTTCTCAAGAATTTACAGTAATATTTGTGGTAGTAGGTGTTTTAGTAGTTTCTGCTTTGGGATACCTTTTTACGTAAGCATACAAAGGTGATGAAATTGGGGACTTAATTTAGATATATGCAATTTTGCAAACTTACATAAAATGCACCCTGCTGTAGGATGGATATATTTCAGTCCTCTCGCCTTTTTATATTATTTACGATTTAAAAACAATATTTCTGCATTAGCGGAACTGCAAAGGAGGTGAAAAAACAGAAACCTCTCTCTATGAAATATTTGTAGCTGTCCAAGGAATGACTGCTGTTGAACAGCAATTTACTAAGTATTACTGCTATATATTTTTTCAGAGACAGGGAACAAGATAAAGGATGTTGATTCTGTAGGTCGTAGATAAGGCTATTGTATGTTAACATCAAGGACAGGATGACTCCAAAGATAAGGGCGTAAAAGACTGTATGCATAGATAAGAGAACCAGCAAGAACTTGACTGCTGAAGTCTGTCAAAGAAAGGAAAGGTCAGAAGTCTAGCAGTGAGGAAGACTTCTGGCCTTCATCAAATGACCACCAGAATACGCAAGACGACTACCTGAGGACTCCAGTACACATACAAATAGGGGTGGGAATCTATGTTAATTATTCTTCGGAGACCTGAATACGCAAGACACTTACAGGAAATTAGATGAATATGTATATATCCCACTAATATAAGCACACTGCCAGTAACCCTTGGCGTGTGTGTTAGGCAGAGCAATCCCCCCCCACCCAGCGCGGTAATAAAGAATACCTTCTTAATAACTTTGGTTATTGATTTTTCACTGCATCAATTTGGTGACCCAGATGGGACCCCCTCTGTTCGGCTGCGGGAGCCACTGAGAAGTGGGACTCTCTAGGTGCGCCCCAGGAAATTCTTGGAGGGACTCCTCACCTCAGCTGGTTCACCACAGGGACAGACAAGGGCCATCTTTTGCAAAGGTATTCTTTTGGGGATTTTGTTTGATTGGTATACCGTTGTTTTGGAAGGTACCTGTAAAGCGCAGATGTTCTACGTTGGGTGCCATACTAGTCACTTGAAGTACATGTGATTAATGGGTGTCGTGTTAAGGGGTGTAGCCAAATAACCAATATAGGTCTGGTTGGATTCAGAGTACTGAACTACCACGGTCACGGATTCACCAACAACATAACATGTCCTTACTCGAGTTGCGTTCAATGACAACTATCACGGCTAGGAACAGTGCAATCAAGTGCAATTTATTACAGCAACAGGTACACAGGTTCTTTGAATTGCCGGCGATAATTTACTGTCTGCAAAAGCAAGCTAGCATGCATGAAATACACAGGTGCACAGCCTGGAAATTAATGCGTTAAAAGGTACAAAGACTCTGTAAAGATTTCTAAGTTTCCGCGGAGACACCCAGTATAACCAAGTGTTCAAATCTCACCCAAAGGTGGCCCAATAGGGGGGGGAAGAGAGGCTCAGCCCGTCGACTGATCCCAGAAGTCAGGAGGTCCTCGTGATGGTATCTTCCCTAACATCCCCTCTCTCTTAGGCCACTTTATATTATTTTCTATCTTTCGGGTGGAGCTAGAGTGACTCTAGTCAAGCATATCTTAGTTATGATTGGTGAAAAGTTTTCCATCTTCGTTTAAAGGTATAGGCTCTGAGAAATTCAAAGCGCATGCTCAGTGAGGGGTGGTCGCACCTTGGAGGCGGGTAGCTTTTTGGATGGAGGTGCGTTTTGGTATTATAATGATATTATAATGAGCAAAAGTACACTAGGGTACAGCATTTGTCAAAACATGACAGGTCCTTGGCTCAGGGTAGCAAAAAGTGCAGCTTATCAGTCTCGGTGTGCAGAACAATCACGTCCCCACCTGGTCACAGAGCCTAGCCGTGGTGTCTCCACTCCACTCTACACTCTGTACTGTTCCTTAGAGCTAGCACACCAGGTTTCCCCAGCACGATAGCATCTAAGGTTGGAAGTCTAGGGAACGCTCAGGTAATGCAGCTATGCCCTACCCTGAAAGCCTCTTCAGTGCTGTAAATTTTCTTTAAAATGTGAATGTTACTTTTATTTTCCTAGTAACTTTGGGCAATTGCACCACATAATCCACCCCGTGACTATAGTCACTCAAGCTTCATGACATTTGGAATATGTTGGGGATATCACATACATTCTCGGGATGAGGTTTATCAAGTGTATGTACATTGTGCAGGGATGCTAAACATTTCATCATAATCCAGAGTTTAACATACAAACTAACTGTCAGCATAAAGCATAATACAGTGAACATTAACAAAATGACAACAGGGTGAAGCATCTTGTTGAAGATTCCTGTGGCGACCATCTAAACAAAGTGTCCCACCAGTCGTGTTTTTCACCTTTCCTTACTGTTTCCATCACTCAATGTATTTCTTCTATATCATGATGGACGGTAATCAGAGTCTTTCATCCATTTTCTTGAACTTGTTTCATCAGCCACTTTAAGTCTTCATGTAACAGTAATTTCTTCACCAAGGTAAGGTTCATTCCAATAGGAGTAGGCAGCAGATCATGAAGCAGAGTATAATTGAATGTTGATAAGAGGTGGCAGGAGCTGAGTAACTAAAATCACATCCTAGAATTTTGGTAAAATTGCAAACACAAACATTAGAGTGATCACTTGTATTTACCATTGTATTATCTATGACTATAGAATCACAATGAGTTCTCATGCAAACAGAGACTTTCCCAATATATACAAGTACAGTTTCAAGGGTTTCATTAGGATGTATCTCAAAGTGGCAAATATTTTGTTCAGTGTCAAGACAAATGTCTTGGGCTTCGAGTGTGTTACTTTCACAAATGAAGCCTTTTTGTTCATGCACAGTAAATGCATCTACATCAATTGTTTGCCACTTTCCTCCCTTTTGATGGGCCCATACTTTATGCTCCTTAGGATAAAATATAGTTCCATTATGACTGAGTCCTAATGCAATGACTGGATATACACTGCATATGGTGGCATTGCTTATGTTAAGTATAAAGGCAATAATTTTATCATTTTCTGCATAATAGGTAAAGTTGACTAATTGCCACAATGTTTGAAGCTCCTTTTCAAATTCTGAAGCATTATCCTAAATCAGTTTTTGAATTTCAGTGGGTAAAGTTCCTCCTTCTCCCTCTCTAATAATAGCTGCTGCTACAGACTGTAGCCATAACTACACTTGGATGCAGCTCAAGGCAAGGGAGGTATTGCCTTGGGTTTTTTCAAGGGCATTTACAATTAATTGATGATCATTTTCTTCAGTTTGTTCCCAGTGGGGTAAAATGTCTGATACAGATGTCTGATGATTTTATTGGTCGTTCCAATTACCTTAGGTCATCTGTAGTAGCAGTTATTCTACTCATTAGGACCTCAGCATCTATGCTATTTAATATACCTAATCCTGTTCCCAATAACCCAGTTGCATCCCATGGCATGCGCCGAGATTGTTTCAGAGAACGTCCATGTAACCATGCTAACCAGCCGGTGTAGGCAATTCTCAAAAAGGTGGTACATTTTGAGTTGAATTCTGAGATATTAATGTGCAGCGCTAGTTCTACCTTTTTTAGAGACCAACTAGGGTTAAAGAGAATTTGTTGTTGTCCCACATTTTTAATTAGGTAAGGATCTGTGTTGAAGATGGAAGGAGTTAGACTAATGGGAGGCTGAGATGGTACAGTTTCAAATATTTGCAGAGGCTTCTTATCCTTTGAATTCTGTGCCTCTATAACCCTAAAGACAGTACACAATTATCGGTTTGGTGAAAGTAAAATTGTGACTATAATTTTGTGGTCTGGAAGAGTCAGCATAAACTGTCTTAATTTCAGTTGGCCTACTGTAAGTAGATCCGTTAGTTATCTGGCAACTGATTTGTATTGTCTGGACAGAAGTGGCTTGAAGTTCAGCCATTCTTACCAAATCATTCCAACTCTAAGTGAATATTAGTTTTATTTTCCTAGTTACTTTAGGCAATTACACCACACTGGTCAAACTTAGGCAAAAGGAACTGCACAGGCAGTGGAAATAGGGCTGTGTGCCCTGGGAAGAGTACAGAAATGCTGTCCAGACGTGCAGGGATGGGATCAAGAAAGCCAAGGTACTGACAGAGCTAAACTTGGTGAGGGATGCAAAAAAATAACAAGAAGGGATTCTACAGGTACACTGGTCACCAGACTAAGGAGAGTGTACCACCTCTGAAAAATGGAGATGGAGGACTGGTAACAAAAGACATGAATAAGTCTGAAGTACTTAACAACTTCTTTGCCTCAGTCTTCACTGGCCGTCAGGCTTTCCACATCTCTCAAGTCTCTGAACCTCTAGGCGGGGGCTGGCGGAGCAGAGTCCCTCCCACTGTAAACGAAGAGCAAGTTTGATACCATCAGGCTACCAAGGGACAGAACTCATCTGTATCTCTGGAGTGATGGGGGATCCCAAAAGTTAACTGTACTGGATGTGGAAGTGAGTCTAACTCGGAATGAGTGGCAAAAGCACCGTGTGACTGGCCCAGAGATTCCATGCATCTTTGGCACAGACTACCTCAAGAGAGGGCACTTCAAGGATCCAAAAGGCATTGCTGCTATGACTACAGAGAAGATTAAGCAGCTGTCTACCCTGCCTGGTCTCTCAGAAAACCCTTCTGTTGTAGGACTGCCGAGGGTCGAAGAACAGCAGGTGCCAGTTGCTACCACAACTGTACACTGGTGGCAATATTGCACCAACCGAGACTCCCTGATTCCCATCCATGAGTTGGTTCACCAACTGGAGAGTCAAGGAGTGATCAGCAAGACTCTCTCACCTTTTAATAGTCCCATATGGCCAGTATGAAAGTCTAATGGAGAGTGGACTACCTGAATGAAGTCACGCCACCGCTGAGTGCTGCAGTGCCAGACATGCTAGAACTCCAGTACGAACTGGAATCAAAGGCAGCCAAGTTGTACGCCACAATTGATATCGATAATGCATTTTTCTCCATCCCTTTAGCAGCAGAGTGCAGGCCACAGTTTGCTTTTACTTGGAGGGGTGTCCAGTACACCTGGAATTGGCTGCCCCAGGGGTGGAAACAAAGCCCTAACATTTGCAAACAAAATAAAGTCAAAGGACCTGCACAAGAGATCCAGTTTTTAGGAATAAAATGGCAAGATGGAAATCGTCAAATCCCAATGGATATGATCAACAAAATAACAGCTATGTCTCCACCAACTACCAAAAAGGAAACACAAGTTTTCTTAGGTCTTGTGAGATTCTGGAGAATGCATGTTCTAGGCATGTGCTAGTCAGCTTGTGTGTCTTCTTTATCAAGTGACTTGAAAGATGAACTGTTTCGAGTGGGGCCCTGAATAAAAACAGACCTTTGAACAAATTAAACAAGAAATAGCTCATGCAGTAGCTCTGGGGCCTGTTCGTACAAGACCAGCTGTGCAAAACATACTTTACACTGCAGCAGGGGAGCATGGGCTCACCTGGAGCCTTTGGCAGAAAACCCCAGAAGAAACTCGAGGTCGACCTCTGGGCTTCTGGAGTCGGGGCTATTGAGGATCAGAAGCCAATTACACCCCAACTGAAAAGGAGAAACTAACAGTGTCTGAGGGGGTTCGAGATGCTTCAGAAGTTGTGGGTACAGAGGCACAGCTCCTCTTGGCACCACAGCTACCTGTTACATTGGATGTTCAAATAGAAAATTCCCACTACACACTACTACATGGAGTAAGCGTTAACTACGTAGCAGGTTCGAATGGGGAAACCCAACCAGCCAAGAATCCTGGAAGAGATCATGGACTGGCCTGAGGGAAGGGATTTTGGAGTACTGACAGAAGAGGTAATTGTCCTGGTTTCAGTTAGAACAGAATTAATTTGCACATCCCAAATTACAGTCTGATTGTAAACCCGCTCTACCAAGGAACCCGTAAGAAGAATGAGTTTGAATGGGGCCCTGAACAACGACAAGCCTTTGAACAAATCAAGCAGGAAATAGTCCACGCAGTAGCCCTTGGGCCAGTTCGAACAGGACCAGATGTAAAGAATGTGCTCTACACTGCAGCCGGGGAGAACGGCCCCACCTGGAGCCTCTGGCAGAAAGAACCTGGGGAAACTCGAGGTCGGCCTCTGGGGTTTTGGAGTCGGGGATACAGAGGATCTGAGGCCCGCTATACTCCAACTGAAAAGGAGATATTGGCAGCATATGAAGGAGTTTGATCTGCTGCGGAGGTGGTCGGTACTGAAGCGCAGCTCCTCCTAGCACCCCAATTGCCGGTACTAGGCTGGATGTTCAAGGGAAGGGTCCCCTCTACGCATCATGCAACTGATGCTACATGGAGCAAGTGGGTTGCACTGATTACTCAGCGGGCTCGAATAGGAAACCCCAGTCGCCCAGGAATATTGGAAGTGATCATGGACTGGCCAGAAGGCAAATACTTTGGGATATCATCAGAGGAGGAGGTGGGTCGTGCTGAAGAAGCCCCACTGTACAACCAGTTACCAGAGAATGAGAAGAAATATGCCCTGTTCACTGATGGGTCCTGTCGTATTGTGGGGAAGCATCGGAGATGGAAGGCTGCTGTATGGAGTCCTACACGACGAGTTGCAGAAGCTGCTGAGGGAGAAGGTGAATCGAGTCAGTTTGCAAAAGTGAAGGCCATTCAGATGGCTTTAGACATTGCTGAACGAGAAAAATGGCCAGTTCTCTATCTCTACACCGATTCATGGATGGTAGCAAATGCCCTGTGGGGATGGTTACAGCAATGGAAGCAAAACAACTGGCAGCGTAGGGGCAAACCCATCTGGGCTGCTGCATTGTGGCAAGATATTGCTGCTCGGGTAGAGAACCTGGCTGTGAAAGTACGCCACGTAGATGCTCATGTGCCCAAGAATCGGGCTACTGAAGAACATCAAAACAACCAGCAGGTAGATCAGGCTGCTAAGATTGAAGTAGCTCAGGTGGACCTGGATTGGCAGCATAAAGGTGAATTATTTATAGCCCGATGGGCCCATGACACCTCAGGCCATCAAGGTAGAGATGCCACATACAGATGGGCTCGTGATCGAGGGGTGGACCTGACCGTGGACGCTATAGCACAGGTTATTCATGACTGTGAAACATGTGCTGCAATCAAGCAAGCCAAACGGTCAAAGCCTCTTTGGTATGGAGGACAATGGCTGAAATATCAATACGGAGAGGCCTGGCAGATTGATTACATCACACTCCCTCAAACTTGCAATGGCAAGCGCCATGTACTTACAATGGTGGAAGCAACCACCGGATGGCTGGAAACATATCCTGTGCCTCATGCCACCGCCCGGAACACCATCCTGGGCCTTGAAAAGCAAGTCCTATGGCGACATGGCACCCCAGAAAGAATAGAGTCAGACAATGGGACTCATTTCCGAAACAACCTTATAGACACTTGGGCCAAAGAACATGGTATTGAGTGGGTGTATCACATCCCCTATCATGCACCAGCCTCCGGGAAAGTTGAACGATACAATGGCCTGTTAAAGACTACATTGAAAGCAATGGGCGCTGGGACGTTCAAAAACTGGGATACGCATTTGGCAAAGGCCACCTGGTTAGTCAATACTAGGGGATCTACCAACCG